GCCTTTCTAAAATTGTCTCACTTTCTAAAATTTAATCCCTCATCAACAAAACCTTTGTGCTGCTGCCAGTTTTCTTTAAAGAAACATGAAAATAAACAAAATAATATGTCATCATACCTGTCCCATGGTCATAGATTTCCAACTCTTTGAAGTCTAAACTATCTAGTATAGTAACGAAGTTTGCTTTCAATGTGCTTTCAGCTTGCCTTTACCATTTCCCCAGCTCTGGCCGTGTTAAACCAATTGCTGTTCCTCAAACCCTCAATGCATTTTGTTCATGTCTCTGTGCCTTTATTCAAACTGTACCCTTTGCTTTGGATGTCCTTTTCCTTCCATCTCACTCAACTTCTTCCAAGTGATTTCTTATTTTTCCTTTATGACTAAGGTATATTCCTCATCACTACCTTTCTCCTCTTGCTTAAATTTTTCAGGAAAGGAATGATATCTTATTCAGTTCTGCTTCCCCAAAATGCCTAGCAGAGTGTCTGGCACATAGTTGGTACTCAGGATGAAAAGATGAAAGCATGAGCTTCTTGGTTGGCTGGAAGGATGGATGGACATGGATGAATAAATGCTGTGAAGAGCCGTGCCATGAATAGTAATTCAGCAGCGAAATCACTCTGTTGCATTCAGGACATGGGATCCTGAGGTAGCAATGCTGGGATGCTCTTGAACATGGGGAATGATGAGACAGCTGGCATCAGGGCTGTCTTCAACAATGGAAACCTCAAGGATGTTCATAGTGTCCATAATGACATCAGACCATGGCCATAGGCTCCTTGAGCCATCCTCTCAACTAGGTAATTCATAGAGGTTGTCAAAACCTGTAGATATGTTAAGTTTTTTTTTTTTTCTCAGATGCAGAGTTCAGTCTCCTAGTGGGAAAGATACTTCTCAAATATGCTAGACGAATCTGTGAAGGAAATGCTGCACACCTCAGGTTCTCACATGGTCTAGGACTCCGTGTTCCTTCTCTTCTTCCGGGGTTTGGCTGCTACCTGAAATTTCTGAAAGGCCTACTACTCTCCATGGTCCAGGACAGGAAGGAATCAATAGGGGCCAACACCATTTACTAAATGATGAGAACTCAAGAGTTGCAAAACACAGAAATAAATCATGTTTGGGAAGGAATAGGAGGGAAAGTGGGAAGGAGAAAAGGGTCAGGGGAGAAGATGGCAGGAAGGGCACTTCTTTCTTTCTCATTCCATTTTGGAAACAAGGAGTATATCCTTGGGAAGTGTCCAGAAAAATGAGAGATGGCTTTACATTAATCCTAACTATGGACTGTGAGAAAGCCACAGCTAATTCACTGGAGGGAAAGTCCTCATTTGGACTTTTTTTGTAAGGGTTTTTGAAATGAAAAGTAGTCAAGGGATTTAAATTCTTCAAGCAATTAGCAATATGTGGTTTTCAAATGCAGCCAGGAATGAATCATCTACAAATAAAGGCTTATCTTTGTTGTGGATGAGCAGCTGAGAGCCTGAAGGTAGTCTTTAAGGAAGCCATTCTGAGACTCTAACCACCCTCAAGATTCTTTCAGAAACAACAGCAGCTACTAGGAAAAAAAAAAAAAAAAAAAAAAAAGCAAGGAACAGGTAGGTAGGCCTGGAAGCAGGAAATAAAAAGCTATATCTATTAAGTATCTCTGAGCTGAAGAGATTCCATCACCAAACAGTGAATGAAACACTATAGAGAAAGCCAGATTAGAGATCTTGAGGCCTCAAGACCAAGCAGCCATCAGCTGAAAAGTGCCAGCTTCTTTAAGATACAGAGACAGCCCTTCTGCCCTCCACTCTCTCAATAATCTGTCTAGTCTACTTTTAGACAGATATCTTAAGTAGGTATGAATGGAGGTAGATACAATTACGATGTATCAAAGCACTCAAGTCTCACTATCTATACTTCTGGGAGCAGGGAACAGACAATCTAAGAAAGGGCTGAAAAACAATCCTTTCTGTGTGGCTTTTTACACAGAATCACAAAATGTTAGCACCAGAAAGGTCCTTGGTGAAGCCCACAATTCCAATTCTATGATGGGAAAACCAAGCATCAGAGAAGAGAAGGGACTTGCCCAAGGCCACATTTCTAGTTGTCATTTTGGGATATATTATATAATTTTGATTTGAGTGATGAGAATCAGAAGATAAAATTATATGAATTCTTCTTCAAGGTAATCAATATGTCTATGCTAAATCCAAATCTCATGAAAATGGAAGTCTACTCCTTAAGGAATAGACAAGGGCCACTTTGTATTGACACTTTCTTTTCCATTGTTTGAGTAAAGGTGTGCTGTGCATTGAATATGTAAGTTAACAATAAACGTGGGAGGGAGTTGTGTCAGTAGGGCAGGGAATGTGGAGATAAGTTCATTCACCAAAGTGGAAAGATTTGCTCTTCAAGCAGTGATTTAAGAAGGTACACAATTGGGTTTTTACTGGCATGGTACTTGAACATAGCATATGATTCCCTTAATTACTAAAATTAGCTTCTGAACAGGATCCTGGTGGAACTTTTTGGTTTGAGGTAATCAAGAGTGTTTTCTGGCGATGCTCTGCCTGTTGGATCTGTTACATATTATATGGCATACCAAGTTACTTAGGGTAAAAGCCATCGGGAAGTGCTGTGTTACAGCCTTTCCAGCTAAATTACTAGTGACCTCAATGACATATTAAGCCCCCACATTTGTCTAGCATTTTGCTATTTATCAAGGATGTTCACATTCATCATGTCATCTGATCTTCATTATAATTCTATGAGGATAGTATTTCTAAATCACAGACGAAGATCTTGAGGCTCAGAGGGGCACACATTAAATAAAGGAGCTGAGCCTTTAAACTAGATCTGCCTGACTCTAAAGGCAAGGCCATTTACACAACATCAAGAATGCTGGTATCTTGTGAACATTTCCTGAAGTTTGCAAGCCTCAAGCTCTAATGACTAGCATAGTGCCTTGTACATGGAAGATGCTCAAAATATCATGGGCCTGCAACTGAAATGAAGGCCAGTCACAACACTTCTCAGCTTGTCTTCATTGTGTTCACCAAGCCCACTCAAATTTGAGTACTCTACTAATAAATCAATTTGAAAGTGTACTGAACCATTCTCACCAATAAATTAATTTACAAACCTGCATCTGAGTACTATATAGTATAGTGAAATTATCTGTTATACACAGGCTCCTTTTCAAAAGCGGCTCACTGTAATCATATCGCAGCCTGATTTATAATGGAGAATGTTGGCTGAGACATGGAATTAATGTTAAGATTTGTATCCAAATGTTATGAGGACTTTTGTTACCATTAAACTTTACCTGCATCAAAGTGGACTTGCAATTCATATCGCCAGATGGCCAGCCAAGAGGTTCCCTACCTGAGAGTCTCTATCTCTTATACTATACATAATTCGCAGAAGGCTAAATAATTGAAAGCTGAGTGTATAAGAACCCTCAACATGGGGCTGCAACATTCATATGGAGAACATTTTCTCTTGTCAATCACTTTGTCACCCTTCCTGCCTTTGCCTCTGCACTCCCTGACCCCAGTCCTACTTCTTCTCCACTGTAGACCTCAATTGTTGGATTTCTTTGGGGTACACCAAGCAAACCAAAACAAGGTTGAGTTTTCTCAGATATCTGATTCTCATTTGATAGGGATGCTTGGAAAGCCACTCACAGAACATCTACCTGTGATGTTTGGGAGTACTGGATGCTACTTGAGATGATTCTTTTGAAATTCTCTCTCATCCAGCCTGGGTCAATTCATTTGAGGAACTTTGTTCTGTTTAAATAATACCACTTCCCTGTGAGGATGGGAAGGATATAGTTATCTACATATAGATTCATACATGGCCCTGTTCCAGGATAAGAGCACTAGTTGTTGTCTATAGATGTGCACATAGGCAGACAAGGTATTGAACAACTCACAGAAAGCCAGAGATAGACAACTGGTCTAAATTAGCCTTAAGAGGATAGGGGAAAGGGTTGGATTCTAGGCACTTGGGTTTTCCAGGCTAATAATAAATAATCGGGTATGAGGCTACAGTTGCAGGCACTCAGAAATAGGCTTGCCTTTCTTCAAATTCCATTTCCAAATTGAAGTAGATTAATGATCTTGTTTTTCTAAGGAAAGACACATATTTTTGGAAGCAGCAGGCAGCAGTGATGACCCTGGCATTGGGCAGATGTAAACATGGAGAGATGGGGGAGTTTGGAGAGGGAAAATATAAATGTCAATCAACTGATGTCAAGCCTTTCTGGAATGGTGACAACACTCATGGCAGACAGGTTCATGGGACAGAGAGCCTTATGATAGAGGAACACCCTTGAAAGAGCTGTATCTTCCTTCTGTAATGTTACTGTCCTACTGAAAAAAAAATGCTTTTGGAAATGATCAATAGCTTTGCAAAGAAAAGGAAATGATTAAAACACCTGTTCATCTTTGGGAGCGATAGGATAGGAAATTGGCACTGTTTGTCAGCCTAGTCACAGGCTCCAAAGAGAAGCAGCTTCTCATTCCAGGTGGCTGGCCCTACAACATAGGCAGCAGTTAGCTGAGGGATATTCCCAGGTGTTCAGGGTCAGACTGTGCCTGGGTCATCCTGTACCTATGCCTGGGTCATCCTGCACCTGTTCTGGATTTCTTAGTTCTCTCATCCTAGCTACCATTGAACAACATCAGGTCAGTACCATTAAGTCCCCTGGGGACCCTGCCCAGTCACATGCATCCTCACTCACCCTCTGTTGGCTCCTTATCCCTGCTTCACACCTCCTGCTCTAATGCTGAGCCCCAGAATGGGGATTGGTATAGTTAAGGATTAAAAAAAAAAGGCACCAGCTGGCTGATGGCCACGTTGGCTATGAAAGGGTCAGCCTGTGTCTGGAGCATGGCTGGTCCCCTTGGAAGCATCAAAGAAGAAAATCTGGTTTAAAGAGAGACTAGAAAATGAGGGAGGAAAAGGGGAGACAGGAAGGAGGAGGAAGAAGAGAAAGAAAAGTATCTTACCTCCCAGAGTCATCCCTGCTTCATAACATTTCCGAAGACGGCAAGATGGACAATTTTTCCTTCGGAATTTATCAATAGTGCAATCATTTCTGCTGGCACACAGGTACTTCTGTTTCCCTGGGATAACAAATACAAGAGTGGACAGACCTGTTAATGAGTTTCCAGAGTCTCTTTCTTTGGGTATTTCTAGAACAAGAAAGATATAAAATTATATCCTATCACATGAGAAAAGTGGACAGAAAAGTGGACAGAGTATGGCACCAAACAATTTGATCCTACAGAACCTAAATATTAAAGCAGTTTAATTTGGCACTGTATTATTTGATTTCCATTGGTGTTTTTTTGTTTTGTTTTGTTTTGTTTTGTTTCGTTTTTTTAAGGGATGAACAATTCAGATCCTGATGATATCTCCATTATTAGGACTACTCACTGGTTTTTAAAATAAGATGCCCTACTTTTACCAAAAGCCAGAAATGCCCGTGAGAAATGATCCATTGTGGAACTTGTCACCCCTTTAGCATGGCGTAGAAGAGATCTGAACTCAGTCAATGTTTCTTCCTATTGACACCTGTAATCATGCATAGAATTACACTCAAGTTAACAAGATGCTTATTTTTCATAATATTAGTACAGGAAAACTTCTATAAAAGATAACTCCATGGGATTTCTAACTGTTTTTAGATTTCTGGTGATCATACCCCTAGTCATGCAGGTTATAAAAATCAGAGATAAAGCCCACTCTAGGTAGTGAATCACAGCAACTAAAAGGAAGTTTGATGAAGCCAACAGAGTAACAAAGATCACTGTCATGCACACCTGGAGTTGTCACAGATACACAGAAGTGCACACACATACACATGCTCAGACCTAGAGATCCTCAGAATTACAACTGCTCAAACATATTTTGCTCAATACTTCGCTCCTTTATGCTAGCACAATCCTGGCACACAGCAGTCTCTCAACAAACGTGGATTGACTGACTAAACATGCAATTGCAGCAGATGGATGCACAGACAAAGAGTCACCAGCAGGAATAAGCAAAAATACATCCTTCGCTGCTCTGAAGCACGCAGAACTTCTCATGCTTACAACCCTGCTCCAGCTTGAGCTTCTGCATCCCCTCACTCCTTTTTGTCTCTGGTATTGTTTCCTCAAATTTATTGCTGTGCTTTGATTTACTGGATAGACTGAGATTTTAGGGAAGCTTCTTTAGGCAGAGGAAGAATACTTGTGGTCGGAAAAAGAAAGAGAAACTAAAGAGTGATTGACATTTGAGAGTAGAAAAAAAAAGCAACTAAAAACATAAATTTAACTATACATCAGCATTCCTCTACATTTACTAAGTCTAAAAGGTGAAGATTAGGCACAGAAATGCATGTGTTACAGTAGGCTATTTTATGTAGTAGGTTCAGTAGTAACCAGGTCAGCAAAGAACTTCTTTTACTTAAAGTGCTACTTGCAAGAGCATGAGATTAGATTTATTGTAGTAAAGGATTCTTTTTCCTTTCCTCCTTTTTAACTTTTTATTTCCTTTTTTTTCCTTTAATTTTCCTTTCTCCTTTCCTTCCTTTCTCCCTTTATGAAAGGATTCCAAAATGCTTGGCTTGAAGGAACTGTTAAAAATCACAACAGAACAACTCTCATTCCAAGGAGCAGTTCCAGGGAAGTGAATTACCTGAAGAAGCACACTGAATCAGAGGCCCCCAAAGGAAAAAAACTAGTATTTATTGGGTGCCTACTATGAACCAGGCCTGTGTTAGGGTTTTTTAACATATGAGAAAACTAAGGCCTCTAGGCTGGTGCTCTTTCTAGTATACCACAGGATTTTATTTGCATAAATAGAGCACATAATTTGCTAACAGCTTTTTTTTCTGCTGCAAACTGAGGACTACGATATGTGCACAGAAAGGACAGTGCTACGAGTGCTGTTCAGCCTTTGGGTGTTAGCTCCTCAAAAACAGGTCCTGTATCCAATTCTAGTGCGTTCAATTCCAATGCTGTAGCTGTTCTAGAACTGGTACACTCCCACAGTATTGGTACTGCTGCAATCCTCAAGACCAGTTTGCTACACTGATTACTGAAATAAGCTTAGGTTAGAAAGTGCATGACTTCTTTGAGAAATGTCATCTTCCCCAGGAAAATACTTTCCTGGACCCCAGTTTGCCAATAAATGATTGCACAGCCAATGGAATATGGCTCCCAGAATGGTTCTACATTGTCCCTTTGAAAGAGAATCACTCTGTGAATGAGAGAGGTCATAGTGGAAAAGCATGATTTTTTTTTTTTTTTCAATTTGGGACTCAGATAATTTCCTTAGCATAGTTCATACCTTTTCTCTGGGTACATCTTGGTCTAAAACAAGGAGACCTAAAACATAGATATTATTTACAATTTACTCAGGAGTAAGTGCAAAGCCCAGTAAAACCAAAGCCATGACATATTAATTTAACATTTACTGGTAATCTATTATGTGCAAGGCCCTGCATTGGGTATTGAGGTTACAGAGGAAAATCTCTAATGAACAAAAATATACAAGTCCCAGATGAGAGACAGATCAGTGGGCTGGAAGCCCCAACATCTGAATCCTTGTTCAGCCTTATCACTAACTCACTATATGACCTTGGACAAGTCCTTTTGCCTCTCTGATCCCATTGATTACATGAAATAGATTGGACTGGAAAGTCATTAAAATCTTTTCCAACTCTAAGAATCTTGAAGGACATCTGGATGTCTTCTGTAATATATTTAGAGTTTTTTTTTTTTTTAATGTAAAGGACTTAAGTATTACTGGTAAGCAAGAAATTATCCAAAATAATAATCTCTTGTCCTTGTATTCTGTCTTTTTAGGATAGTAACTTATTGCAACATTGTCTCTTATATCTAGAATCATTTAGTCTCTTGTCTTTGTTTTCTAAAGCTCTCCCAAAACTCAAGGTGGTTAATATAGCCTTAGAAAGGCACTGATGTTGCCAGTCACATGCAACATAAGCATAAACATTCTAATGAACATGTGTGTATTCATGTATGTGTGAGTGCATAGGTGTGTGAGAGTGTGTGACTGAATAATTAACACAGGGAATACAATACCTGCACACTAATTATCTGTGCATATGTGGGTGATCATATAAAGCATAAAACACACCAAAACATACAAATAGGTACACATGACACATGTGTTCCTTCAAAGCAGAATGATGAATTTAATGTTTAAAATGACATTTAATAGTGACAGAAGTGGCTGAGGATTCCAAAGATGGATATGAAAGGAATCTTTTTTTCTGTAAGTCCTGAAAATAAGACCTTATTTATCTGTACAATTTGGTTTAAGGACAAATATAGGGGATGGAACAGGCAATCTCTCAAGACTGCTTACAAGTCACTTCTCCTATCTGAATTATCACTTCCCCAAATGATGATAGAGCCAAGGTAAAATCATTGGTCTGCTATTATTTCTTTCCTATTTATTCAATTTCTCCAAATATATGAATGAGGCTATTAGAGTTCTTAACAGTAACAATAATCACTCTCATTTGATTAGTTTACAAAGTTTAATAATAATCTGCAAGGCCAGGTGCAGTGGCTCACTCCTATAATCCCAGCACTTTGGGAGACCAAGGTGGAAAGATTGCTTGAGCACAGGAGTTTGAGACCAGCCTGGGTAACATAGTGAGACTCCGTCTCTATAAAAAAATGAAAAAAAGAAAATTAGTTAGGCATGGTGGTGTGCGCCTGAAGTCCCAGCTACTCAGAAGGCTGAGGGGCTGGATCCTTTGTGCCTGGGAGGTCGTGGTTTAAGTAAGCTGTGATTGTGGTACTGCACTCCAGCCTGGGTGACAGAGTGAGACCCTGTCTCAAAATAATAATAAAATAATAATAATAATCTGTGCAAAGTAAGTATAATAGGGATTATTACATACTTCATTCTATGATGAAGAAAATGAGACTCATTAATATGAAATTGGCTAGGACTTCCAGTACTATGTTAAATAGAAGTGATGAGAGTGAGCATCCTTATCTCATTCCTGGTCATTGAATATAATGTTAGCTGTGGGCTTGTCTGATATGGCCTTTATTGTGTTGAGAAACATTCCTTCTAATACCCAATTTCTTGAAAGATTTTATCATAAAATGATGTTGAATTTTGTCAAATTATTTTTCTGCATCTATTGAGATGATCATATAGTTTTTGTCCTTCATTCTGTTAATATTATTGATTTGCATATGTTGAACCATCCTTTCGTTCCAGAAACAATACTAGTCTTTTGTTGAGGAACCTTGCATTGATGTTGATCAGAGATATTGTTCTGCCTGGCATCACATCCTTGGTTTGCTGCAAATCACAGTCCATAAGGTTATGAATCCCAGATTAGTTGGAAAGAATTTTTAAAGACTTTTTGGTTGTATCACATCCATTCCTCCATACAAGGCTTCAATTGTCTCTGTAGCATCCCTGCAAAGTATTGCCCAATCTTTTCTTGAACGCAGCCCGTTTTATCTCTGGACTGTGTTATGTGTCCTTTCCTTCCAGGAAACTCACTGTTTCCTTTTAGCTCTAACCCATTGGGCCTAATTAGAAACATAGAATCATTGGGCTGTAAAGAATCTTAAAATGCCCAGTGTGATGCTTGACTCTTCAGTTAAGAAAATGGGCACAAAATATTGAAATTACATGCCCCAAGCCACAGCAAGTTGGTGTTAGTGCCAGCACAAAAATCTGGAAACTGGATCCAAAGGAAATATGGTGTGGGTGATTACAGTCTGAAGACAAAGTCGTCTGAGTGTGGTAGAAATCTTTGCTCTTTGTCTAGGAAGTATATGACCTTGTGGATCCCTTCTCTGTATTCAGGTGACAGAAGAAGTGTGTAAATGAGATCTAGGCCTGCTGTAAGGTGGTTCTAGAAGGTCTTCTATAACCTAAGAGACTGAAAAATTAACACAGGGAATACAACTTCCTAGGCAGCTCTCCCTCCTCAGATACTACAAACATTATACCCAGTTGTTTGACACTGTTAATTTCCAACAGCAAAGTTGTATCCACAGTGTATAATGAAGGGCTCACTATAAGTCATTGTGAAATGACAAAATACAAAAATCTTCTCATGTTGAAGTAGGTAAGG